TCGATCTCACCAGATGAAGACGGATGAAACTCGTTGTACTGCAGCCGTTTGGCTTTTATACGATATTCATTTCGACGCAGTCCACGAGACTTGCCCCCTCGTTTCGGGTGAAAACGTGAGACTTTTACAAAAATGAAACCCAGCTCTGATGATCTCCATCATATGATGGACGAAATCAGACAGGAAGTCTTGTGGACTGCGTCAAAATGAATATCGTATAAGAGCCTATCGGCTGAAGTACAACGAGATTCATCCGTCCTCATCTGGTAATATCGACCAACGAATCTCTTCTTCATTCACTTTCATGCGAAATGAAAGTCCCCCTAACAATGTTATCTCAAGAGATTCATCGAAACCCAGTTTATCTTCATACCCATGATGGTACACACTTTGGCCCATTGCAGCGCAAGTCAGCCCAAATTGAATGGACGCCGAATCCACTCGTTTGACTTTACTCGAGCGCGCACATTTTAAACATTTAAACGAACTCAGCCAAGCCCACTTCATAGGCTCAGTTCAGCTCAGCTCAGCTCAGCGGAAGTCGAATAGCAGCCGCGCTGGACAGCCGCACTACACCTGCTCGCGTTCGCGTCTGATTGCGACTTGAGTTGAAGCAGTGAGTTTATCGATCCCGTCCGGTCGGAGTCGCAAAATCTGTCATGCGACTTGGATCTGGGGCAAAAAATCCACACTCAGTCAGTCTGTCAGTAATAGTAGGGCCGTGGTAATTCTCACGTTTCTGCAGCAGCATGAGCCTGTGAGAGCTTTGCGATTTTTTCCAAAAACAATCAACTCATCGAAGCTGGTGAATCTGTGCGACTAACGGCAAATCGATCGCTCACTTTCTCAATCCATTATGCATCCTAAATTGAGAGTATTGCAAAAAAACAAGACCTTGTCTTAAGTTTACACGGCCCAAGGCGATCGAGAGTGTCTGCCAGAGCCCAGTGGGGCAGGGTAAAAACAATAGCTGGCCGTTTAATCGATCGAATGGACAGCAGATTGACGTGTCTGTTCTCTAGTGTCGGTTCTTTCGTGTGTGTGTGTGTGGGCTCGCTCACATGAGCGCAGTTACCGCCATTGACTGCATGTGTAGGCGTGAGGCAGACGCAATGTTGTCATGCCACGGAGGCTGAGACAGGCAAACCGATGTCCGGCTCTAGCGGTCTGATTCAGTGATTCATTTCGTATTGCCACAGTCCACTGTCCAATCAGCGACGAGATCAGACGCAGAGGCCTCGGATTGGGAATAGAACAATTCGATCGAAGAGTGTCTCTGCGTCCCATCGCCGGCAGCCTGACTCGGTCGTCTCGTCTTTGCAATGTCTGCCGGCGGCGTCTGATCTGATTAAGCCGGCCTGCCCCGAGGCTCGATCGATTGGACTCTGCAGCGGACGTGGCGCGTTCTTTTAATTTGCCCCATTTCCTACTCTTGTCCCCTTCGCGTCGCAGACGGTCGG